GGGTATAAAATATCTCACTCTTTAATTTGTATTGCTCTGACTTCTAGTATACTTGAATATCGTTTCATGTTTGCTGGCCTTCTGGACTTCCTTTTCTGTGAATTGTCTATTCATATCCTTTGCCTGACTTCCAAGTGGGTTATCATTTTCTTATTGGTTTGTGAGACAACTTCGTATATTGCTGATACTAACCCTTTTCTGGACTCCTATATTTAACATATAGCTTCCTAGATGTTTATTGTAATTTTTATTATTCTAGTTTTTACATTTTAACTTTTAAGCCATCTATATAAGAATTCAATTTTCTTTTTCTTACAATAGAGAGCTACTTGTGCTAATCCTATTTAATTTTTAAAAACCATCTTTTCCCCACCTTTTCATATATTAAATTTTCATACTTACTGGGAAATACGTTCTTAATCACAGTGCTATAATGTCAATGAATCTGGCAATTGGGTCCATGATTAATTTTTAATTATTTGGTAAGGGTAGAAATCGAACCAATAAAACCAAGAATCAACATTACCTAAATCTCAAGTATGGCCAGGGAAGTTACCTGTTGTACTTAAAATCGTCAGTGTTATTCAAGGGAAAAAGGGGGAAAGGAGGGAGCTTTCTGAATCTGGAACTATATCACAAAACTCCTTTAAAAGTTTTAGTAAGCAAATGTAAATTTTTCATTTCATTTTTGCTTCTTGGTTTCTTTTTTCTAGAATTCCAAAATTCCCACTCCACCTGCTAGTGGGATACTACAATTTGCCATTTACCAGGGCCTAAATTTCCTTCTTCATTTCCTTCCCCATTTCCCTTTTATTAGGTTTCTGATAAGAAATTAACTGAAACAAGGAGAGAAAAATTACATGTGTTCACTTTTCTTCTGCTAATTAAAGCAATAATTCTGCTGAGAAGATTAAAATCTTGATTAAGATGATTAGTTTATATGCACAAATAATCCACAGCTATCATTAATCTTGCTCAGAAATTACAGGGATATTCAAAGTAATTATCCTTAAACAATAAAATACTTTATAAAAGTAAGAACCAAATGTAATTATAGAATTGAAAAATATAATACATTTCTAAAAACTTGGTGGATGGGTTCACTAGTAGAGTTAAATTGACAGAACAGGATCAGTGAACTTGTAGACACATCAATAGAATTTACTAAATCTAAACAAGACAAAAACAGACTTTTAAAAAAATGAGAAGGATCTCAGGGACTGGTAGGAAAATAACAAATGGCCCAACGTTTGTATAGCCAGATTCCCAGGGAAATAGAAGAAAGAGTATGGGGCTGAAAATGTTATAAAAAACCTCTTTAATTTGGCAAAACACATAAAACCTACAGATTCAAGAAGCTGAGTTAACCCCAAATAGGATAAAACCAAAGAAATACAATACAAAGCATATCATAGTCAAACTTCAGAAAACTAAAAACAAAGAAAAAAATCTAAAAAGCAGCCAGAGAGAAATGACGTATTACCTACAGGCAAACAATAATTTGACTGTCAGCAGATTTCTCATCAGAAACCAAGGAGGCTAGGAAGAAGTGGCGAACGTTTTTCAAGTGCGGAAGGAAAGTAACTCTCAACCCCAAATTCCTTACCAGAAAAAACTATCCTTACTGTCCATCAAGAATGAAGGAGAAATAAAGATATTCTCAAATGAAGAAAAACTAAAGGAATTTGTCACTAACGTATCTACCTCTCAAGTAAGATCTCTTAAAGGAAGTTCTCCAAACAGAAAGGAATAAGTGAATAAGGTTTAACTTCAGATAAAAAAGAACAATGGAATAGGTAAAAGCAGTGGTAAATATAATGGATTATGTTTCTCGTCATTAGCTTCTTCAATAATATTTCATGGTTGAAGCAAAAGTTTAATGTGGTATTCAGTGTATGTAGAGGAAATCTGATAATTATATTTAAAAAATGAAAAGGGTAAAAAGATGTAAATGTAAGTGAGTTTTCTACGCTTCACTTAAGGCAGTAAAATGTCAATACAAAAGTAGGCTGTGTGATGTTCTGTATATATACTGTCATACCTAGGGCAACCATGAAAAAAAGAAGTATACTAAGAGCTATACTCAAGAATGTAAATAAGTCAAATAAAATTCTAAAAAGCATTTAAGTAACCTACAAGGAGGCAAGAAAAGAGAAACAGAAAAATGATAACAGAGGAAACCAACAACAACAATAAATAATAAAATGCCTGAATTAAGCCTTAACATATCAATGATTATTTTAAATACAAATTGTCTAATTATACTGGTTAAAAGGCAGAGACTGGTAGAATGGATTTAAAAAGAAACATGACCTAACTATATGTTGCCTAAAAGAAACTCACTTCAAACATAATGACATTGGTAGGTTGCAAATAAAAGAATGGGAAAAGATATATCACGCTAATATTATTATTTTACAAAAGCAACAATGGCTATGCAACTATCAGATAAAGTAGACTTTAAAGCAAAGAAAATTACTGAACAAGGACATTTCATAATGATAAGATTAATCCACCAAGAAGACATCCTAAATATATATGCACTGAACAACAGACATTCAAAATACAAAAATCAAATACCAATAGAGCTAAATGGAGAAACAGAAAATTCCACAATTATAGTTGGAAAGTTTTAGCAATGGAAACATCTACTAGACAGACAATCAATAATATATGGAAGAGCCTAACAATACCATCAACCAACAGGATATAATTGACATGCAATTGACATCCAACAACAGCAGAATACACATTCAAGTGCCCATGGAACATTCACCAAGATACACCTCATCATGAGCCATAAAACAAACGTAAATTTAAAAGAATTAAAATCATACAGCTTATGTTTCTGACCATTATGGAATAAAACTAGAAATCAGTAACAGAAAAGACAACAGGTAAATCTCCAAATACTTGGAAACCAAAGAGCACACTTCTAAATAATCCATGGGTCAAACAGGAAGTTGCAAAGGAAATTTTAAGAATACATAGAACTCAATGAAAATGAAAAGACAATACACCAAAATTTGTGAGATGCAACAAAAGCAATGCTGAGAGGGAAATTTATAGCACTATATGCTAGCATTAGAAACAAGAAAAGGTCTCAAATGAATAATCAAGAAACTAGAAAAAAGAATAGCAGATTAAACCTAAAGCAAGCAGAAGAAAATGATGGAGCAAAAATCAATAAAATTGAAAACAGAAAAATTAAAGTGCTAGTTCTTTGAGAAAGATCAATAAAATCAATAAACCACCACTGAAAAAGAGAGAAGATGCAAATCACTAACATCAGGAATGAAACAGGGGTTATCACTAAAGACCCTACAGAATACTATTGCCCTGATACCAAAACTGGACAAAGACAGTACAAAAAAAGAAAACTACACGGGAATTTCCTGGCAGTCCAGTGGTTAGGACTTGGCACTTTCACTGCCTGTGCCTGGTTCAATCCCTGGTCCCTGGTCGGGGAACTAAGATCTCACAAGCCATGCGGTGTGGCCAAAAAACAAACAAAGAAACAAACCAAATAAACCCCCAAAACACAACTACACACCAATACCTCTCATATCTATACCTTAACAAAATATTAACAAATAGAATCTAGCAATGTATAAGAAGAATTATGTGGGATCTATTCCATGTATACTCAACATTCAAAAATCAATCAGTGTAGTCCACCATATCAAGATGCTAAAGAAAAAACATATGATCACATGAATTAACTAAATGCACACCCTATGACACAATAATTGTACTATTGGGCATTTTTCCTAGAGAAATGAAAACATATTCACAGAAAAACCTTCAAGCAAAGATTCACAGCAGTTCTATTTGTAACAGCCCATAAGTGGATACTACGCAAATGTCCTTCAACAAGCGAATGGTAAAACCAACTGTGGTACAAACATACCATAGAATACTACTCAGCGATAAAAAGGAACAAACTATTGACACACTAAACAACTTGGATGCATCTTAAAGGAATTATGCAACCTGTCTCGTGTAGAAAAATAAAAAAAAAAACAAGGGTGACAGTTTACAGTAAGGCCTATGTGTGGATGAAAAGCAGCATGAGCACTAGGTGTCTGCTGCAAAAAACTTCAAGAGAGCTGTGAAAGTCAGTGTACGGGTCATTCTTTAAGAGTTGATGTTTACTAAGTGCTTATTACACATAAAGCACTGTTCCAAGTGTTGTATGAATTATGTCAGTTAATAAAATAATCTTATCAAGTGGCTACTAATGTACCCCATTTATACATGAGAAAAAATGAGACAGACTATTTCTGAAAAATACCATGATGCATGGCACTCAGTAGAGGCAACAAGACCCGCAATTGTTTCCCCAAAATGCTGCACTCCAAATTCAAGGGAGCAAGCGCCGTTTTGACCTTGGCGCCACGGAGAAATATTACAGCAGCTAGAGTGAACCTCAAATAACTGGCTAGGGGAGTGTCAAGTTCAGAAATTGGTGCAAGAGTCAGTTCTCAAGGATACCTGGTGTAACAAATTTGGGAGAGGCGTGGGGGAGGAAGTTGATCCTGATGAGAAACTCGATTCCAAATCAAAAGAGTCCGTTAATGGACAAGGTTGGAAACTGAGAACCAGGGAGGGAAGAGAGTGACTTGCCCAGGGCTACAGGCTTGGTTGGTACAAGAACTCAGACCTTTGGAGTCCCCGGCCCAGACTCTAGTCACTTTTAGTCATTTCTGCCCTGCCAGTCGCCCAACGTCCTGGACCTTACCCCCCCAGAGGAGCCGCCATAAGACTCTCCACAGGCGGGCTACAGTTAGCAGAACAAATGGTACGTTCCCGCTGGGCAAGCAGCCAAAGGGGCTCCCGGCCAAAGTGGCCCCGAACCCCCGAGCGGTCGCAGCCGTTAGGCTAAGGACAGCACGGGCTCTGCGAGGAGCCACAGAGAGGAAGGGTTCCAGCTCCCGCGTGCCTGCCCAGCCGTCTTTTCTCCTACAAAGTCACCCCGAGCGTGGGAGGCAGGTCCTCACCTGTCAGCCTAGAAAGCAGCTGGCTCTACCGTGGCCGTCTTGGTTAGGCGTCACCGGGACGGGAAGTCCCGCCTCCCTCTGACGTCACAGCGCCGCGCCGCGCCGCGCGCCGCTCGCCGCTCCCGGGAACTGGTTCCTTTACCAGACGTGGTGTGTTGGGGTTTGGGAGGTTCTTCACCCTGGGTTAGGCCCTGTGGCCCAGATCCAACGAGACCGCTGGGAAGCTGTCGCTACGCTGAAACTTTCTCTTCCCTTTCATATGAATTTCATCCGCCTTTTATTTTAGTCATCCTTGATACACTTCAGCTTCCCTTTCTCCAGTTCTCCCCCATGCCCATGTTTCCCTTCATATGTTACTGGTTGCATCTCTTCCCTTCCTTTCCCCACATTCACAGGCAAGTTGGTTCTCAGTTGCCCTGTTTATTAGCATTAATATGCCCAGCCTCTGCTACTCGGCCCTTTAGCAAAATGCTGAAAATGCCGATTCCAGAGGTATTTCGAGCTTACCACATCCGAACTCCATGAAGACAAAGGTCATATTCATCTTGCGAACTGTTGGCATCTTCAGCACCTGGCACGTAATAGGTGAGCGGCATATATCTGTTCAAAAATGCAATAGAGAAAACAAAGTAGTTTTATAGCCAGGGGTCGAAGCGGACTAGTAAACTGGCAAATCAGTAATCTCCCCCACACATAGAGGAGAAGACTTGATGCTTTTTCATTCAACATGTCAGTGATAGGCACCACCTTCCAACCAGTTGTTGGAAGTTGACTGGTACCTCTTATAGGCACCACCTTCCAACCAGTTGTTGGAAGTTGACTGGTACCTCTTTATTACCTTCCCTGCTTTCACTTACTTCCTAAATATAATAGTTAACCCAATGAGTTTAGAAGATGCCACTCACTGTGCTAAGAGCTTGTCATGAATCAACTCATTTTTAATCCTCACAGCAACCCCAATGAAGTCAGTATTAACGTGTGACCAGAGAGTCTGGAAACATAGACAAATGCACAAAATAAGTGAATGATTACATTGCAGTGACATTACATGGTATGTTCAAGGTGTTGTCCCTCGTTACTAATGCACAGCTCAATGTGTGCAAAATTCCGATGAGTGTGGTTCAAATGCAGCAGTTCTTTCAATTCTTGCATATGCATTTATGGTGCATTGCTCAAGTGATTTGTGTCTCTGATTTCATTAAATAAGACTGTGCCAGAAAAGTTAACCAAAGGGGTTCCATTTTTTTTTAAATCTATCTTTCCAGACCTTTGGCCAGTCTGTATTATTATCTCCATATTATTTGCTGTTCATATAGTTTCTACTTTCTACCTTCTAAGCACTTATTAGGATCACATTTCCCTTATAGTTCAGGGGTGGGGAGTGGAGGAAGGGAGGGACCAAGGGGATGTGAGTAATTCTGGCCAATGAGTTGTGAGGAGAATGCTGTGTAACTTCCAGCTGAGCAGTTGATTTCTTGTGTGAGATGCTCCAAAACTTCACTTTTTCCTGGTGAGGTGATGGCAACATTTGAATGATGTCTGTCCCAAGAGCCTGTGTCCTTCAGTAGCTGCTGCTACATAAAGCCTATTGACCATCCTGTGACGAATACTTTGGAGAAAGAAAGAAACCTCTGTTGTTACTTTTGGTGTTCTTACAATGTAGCCTGTCCTAATTGATACACAGGGACAGCCACACACAGAGGATCTTTTTTCTCAGGCTCTTGATTTTTAATTCTAAATACTCAGGGGAGACTTTCTGATTGCCTCATCTTGTGTCTGGTTGTCAGCAGTTGTCCAATCATCAGTAACAAGCACTAGGGGTCATACTGTACCTTATAGACAGGGACCCTCTGCTACAGTGAAGGGTATTTTAGTGAGCAGGCAAACATTCCACAAAGGTGTCTACTACAAGCAGACATGGCTATAAAATTAGACCATTGTATACTGATTTAAAAACAATAAATGAAATTGAAACAGTTTCACCTTTTACAAGAATTTTAGACTCTCATTACTCATTCAATGTTTATTGACTACCTATTACATTCCAAACACTCTTCCAGGCACAGAGGACTCAAAGGCAACCCAGAGAGAAAAACACTTGCTCTCACCAAAACCCAAAATAAACAAATTAAATACATTGATATATAGTGACAGTGGAAGAGGAACTAAAAGGCAGGGTAAAAGAGAGTGAGGAGTGCATTCATTACCTACCGCTGCTTAACAAATTACCCCAAAACATAGCAGCTTAAAACATTTCTTATCTCGCACAGTTTCTGAGGGTCAGGAATCCCGGAGAGCCTACCTGGAGCTCAAAGTCTTTGAGGTTTCAGCCAAGCTGGTTGGTCAGGGCTGCAGATATCTCGAAGCTCCACTGAGGCTGGAAAATCCAGCACTAAGCTCAGTCACGTGATTGTTAGTCAGCCACTGTTCCTCACTGGCTGTTGGCCAGAGGCTGACCTACTCCAGGGGCATCTGGGGACTCATAAAAGCATTCAGGGGCTGACTCCACATTTCATTAATCTAGCAGTGTCCACAAAGAGATGCAGTGCAGGGTCTTCTGACTGTTTAACTTCATGACTGCATGGCAAGGAATAATTTACAGAAAGAAAGCTTCAAAAGGTAAATTTAGGCTTATGTAGAATAATTATTCTAATTATGGAACTCTAAGGAATGTAAATTACTAGAAGGAGAGACTTTTGTCAAATGAGAGTAATGGCTAATATTTCCTGAACATTTACTGTGCCAAGTTTTGTGCTGAATGCTTTACATAGGTCTAGAAGGGAAAGAGAAGTTTGAGGACAGAGTTCAGAATGACGGTCTCAGATAAATGGTCCCCTCTTTGCCCAAACCATATGGATTCATGTCTGAGTCCTAGCAAGAGAAGGATTATGGCAGGAAGCAGAAAGAAGAAATTTCCCACAAAATCTCTGAGAGATTTTGGCATCCCAAGGCAATGCAGCTCAGGAACCACTGTGACAGAGTACCAAGGAAACCTGCCTTCTGTTGAGCAGGGAAGCTGTGCAGTGTCCCGTGGACAGGGGATGATTTAAGGAGACTGTCAACTACATGTAGCACTTACAGGGAAGAAGTTGCAGGGGAGGTAGTGTCTCAGACTCCTGCCATTTCATGGGCAACATCATTGAAGAGGAAGAGGAAAAAAATAAAAAGTTTGCATTTCTGATATGGCCCAGATCAACTATGCAGGGATCTTTAAAAACAGCTCCTAGAAACTGCCACAGCTGTTGGGGACACTTTAGCAGAGGTAAGAGAGTAGTTGGGGACACTTTGCAGAAGTGATTGAGGGCCCACAATAGCAATGAGAGTGAGACAGAGTGGTAGGTAACACTTAGATCTTTATGATAGGAAAGAATATTTCTTTTGTGTATGTGTGTGTGTGATGAGAACTTTTTAAGATTCATTCTCAACAACTTTCAAATATGCAATACAATATTATCAACTATAGTCACCATGCTGTACATTACATCCCCACAACTTATTTATTTGATAATTGGAAGTTTTTACCTCTTGACCCCCTTCACCCATTTCACCTACCCCCAAACTCCCTCTCCTCTGGCAACCACCCATCTGTTCTCTGTATCTATGAGTGTGGTTTTGTTTTGTTTCGAAAAACAGGAAAGAATATTTCTGGTGGATGTTATGAGAATGTTAGAAGGACCTGTACTTATTAATAAAGTATGTTCCCATCTTATTATTTCATTACACAGAAAGTTGAAACTCTTATTTTAGACACCCTTTGAATTAAGATATGTAGATTGAATATTATATAAAAAGGAACAAGAGAAAGAAAAAGAAGAGCAAGGAAAAAAGAGAAAAAAATATTTATTTCTAAGTGTAGAAGACAACTAAGATTTATCTTCAATATATATTCTAGAGAGAGTATCAGTGAATTTTGAATTGTTGGTTGTAATAGTGAATTGGTTCTAATAGTGAATTTTCTCATTTGTAAATCTTTAAGTGTAAATAATTCTAAATGCTTGTAAAAATGCCATTGCTCCATGCAGCCTCCTTATGGCTCTGGTGTACCCTGCGATCTACATAAATGTATTTTTTCAAACATTTTAGGTCAAGAAGTCCACATAATGATTCTCTTAAACATAAATTTAAAATCAGTAGCTAAAAATCGACAAAACCACATTTAACCCCCATACTATAGTTATACTGTTCCTCCTGACCAAGTGATAGCTGGTCCTAAAAGCCAGCACCCTTGAACTGTGAGACTTGGAGTGTCTCACTATAGGACTGTTCACTGACAGCATTGCCTTCGTAGAGGCACTTGGCTAATAAAAAGAATGAACTAAAAAATATCTGGCAAACATCAACATTTAGATGTTCAGGCCATCAAAAATAATACATATATATGTATATATATACATATATATGTGTATATATGAAAGAGACTAGAATAATATTTTTATTTTAAGACTTTCAAGGTCATTCACCACATGTTATATAACTGCAACTCCAAATGTTTTACTGTTATCCATTGATATGATCAATTAGTCCCCCTCAATGAAACCATACCATAAAGAAGCTTTTAGTGGCAGAGCACGGTACGTTAAGGATGAGAAAAATATGGGAAATGTAGTTCAACTATCTCTATAAATTAAAAACAAAGTAGAGATTGGGACTAGCTACAGATGAATATCCCCTTAGAGGATAGTATGTTCCCACTTTATTGGATTCCTCGGGAACTAATTGCTCTTTTCAACAAGGTTTTTGTGGGCTAATTATGCTGCTACAGAACTTTTACACATCGTTCCTTCTGATTTTTTAATGGAGACTTTATATTCCCCAGTAAAATAAGTATGGAGTTTTTCATAAATCAAAATGTCTATCTGTATTATCCATGTGTTCAACCGTCATAGACTGAGTAATGGCCCTCCAAAGATGTCCTTGTCCTAATCCATGGAATCTGTAAGTATTCTGCATTACACGACAAAAAGTGCTTTGCAGATATGGTTAAAATGTGTTATGGATCTTGAGATGGGGAGAGTAGCCTGGATTATCCAGGTGGGACCAATGTAATCACAAGGGT